ACACCTTTCCGCTCATATTTCTGCAAGTTTAATTTGTTCGCAATTACATTTCCTTAAATAATTTTAAAACAAACTAATGTCTTTTATTTGGCCAACAATCACACTAGGCTTCCTCCCACCGAGACGACTAATACATGGGAAAAGGATGTTAGACTTCATAAAACAAAATTGAACTCGTTTGATATTACAACCGTGTTACGTCTATAAAGTAAGAATTCTTCCAACAAATTTGATATTCAAACAAACATCACAAACTACATAACAAGAGTACAATGACTCCCAAAGGTTTTGCAGAATGTTAATACAAGACTCACTCCTGTCCAAACTCGAAAGAAAGAACTTCCTCAGACACCTCCAATAACTCTTCAACTTCTATTTCCCGTGCCTGATATTCCTCTTCTTCGTCACTGGCTTCTCCATCCCTCAACTTCTGTCTTTCCAGCTTCTCTTCCTCATGCAACAGCTTCCACTCGCTCACCCATTTCTCCCATTCTTCCTTCAACATTCTCCTCTTCTCCCGTTCCTGCTCGCTCAACAGCATTGAGACATCCTGGTCCTCTAATTCATACTTCTTGCTGTATTTCTTCAAGTTCTTTGAAATCTCTTCCTCCTTCTCAGGAGTCAAGAATGAAGGTGGCCTTGGACGCCATAAGAACTTAACAAGAGATGACAAGGATAAGAATTCTGCAGAAGACTAGATCATGAACTAGCAAAGGTACAGAAAGTAATTCCCTTTTTACCTGAAAGAAATGATCCTTCAATATCCGATACAGAAGCTTGCCATTGAAGGACCAAATATTGAAGCCATTTTCCATTTCATGAACAGAGGTCACAGATGTGGCAACATACCTACATAAGCAAACAACATAATCATCAGAATCATTGTTCTAAAAAGCACAACCCGTTAGAGCAAGGCTTACCATTCACCTACTGAGGAAAAGTAAAAAAAAAAAAAGGCTTACCATTTACAAAGAAAAAAAACTCTTGGGCTTACCTTCCAGTAGGATCCCATTCAATATCAGTAGCCATAAAATGTTCAGCAGTTGCCATGGTTTCAAGCTCCTCAACATTGTAAAATTCTAACTGGCCATTGAATCCCTTCAATCCAGCAAGTACTATAAATCGGCCAGCAGGTGACCAGAACAGTGCATTTGCCTGCTTGCCTTTTAGTGTAGTGAGCTTTGAAACTCGGCCTGTATTGTTTGCAGTTCTCATCGAGTAAAAACTAACATCAGGTCTTGGATTATCACCATGTATGACAGCAAATCTGTGTCCTTTTGGCTCCCAAGCAAATGCAATAATCTTGTCATTCTTGTTGTCAAGCTCCAAAACCTCAATAGGTATGTCCCTTTCTTTGATTCTGAAAAGCTCAAAACCTGTGTATGTGCTTTTCTTCGTCTTTGTATAACGATCGACCTTAACAGCGAGATAGTCACCATTGCTTTGCCAGTACATTTTGCAATCACTAACACTAAAGAGATTCTTTTGCCTCAGCTCCTCTTTACTTGGGATTTGTACAAGACTCACCTGCAAAATAAACCAGGCAGTAAGCAGGGTTCAAAATAAAATCATAAAATAATAAGGCCTTCCAAAGTACTCACCCTAGCAGGTTGATTTCCTCCACCAAGTTCAGGAACAAAAAGAGAAAGGATGGGATCAGTTGGTGACCAACAGAAGTCCACAACATTTTCAACCTTCAGTGATTTCTTGTCAATAAGGCTAAAAGTCTCTGTTTCATAAACAGAGATCATGTTTTTCCCAAGTTTGGCAAAATAATTGTCCTCCTTCCCACCGCCCCATCTAACAAAAAGGGCACAATTCCAGTTCATTAGACAAACAAGGATAAGAAGAAAAACTGTTCACAAAACTGTACATGTATTATTGTAGACTGACAAAAAGGAATAATAACCTGAAAATAGGCCAAGAGACTCCTGCAACACCACCAGTTCCTCCAATTGCAAATTCATCAGCACTCCCCTTAAAATCTCTCATCACTTTCCCAGTTCTCACATCAAAAATATTTATCACAACCCTCTGAATACATTAAGCTGCTGTCAGGAATTATCTCACGGTGAAAAACAACAACAAATGAAGTACAAGTGTAGGTAAAAGAAAGCTCACGTTTGCATCACGAGGATTGCTTGGTTCATGGCTGCTGTAAGTCACTAAATATTTCTCCCCAGGGGAGAAATCAATAAGTTTAACCTGCAGCCCAAATCATTAATTTAGGGATGAACAAGTAAAAGAAAAAGAAGTAAAGGAGACTTAAATGAAAACCCAGATCAAACCTGCGAATGAGCATAGCGCATTAAGCGATTAAAGGTAGTAGCACCTCCCCAAACAGCAGCCCCCTGCCTGTGAACTGTTGCCAAGTATGTTCCAAGTGGGGACCATTGAACAAAACTCTCAGTCCAGTACTGTCAAGAAAAACAAACAAATGAACCTTGTGGCACTACATAACCTAAAAAATTTGTTCACACAAACATGCATGAACACAATAAAAATCATTTCACGGTATGTAATAAGAGGCAAGAAGCTTACAGCACGCTTATAAACAAGCTCAGTCTTAGCTTGCCTTGCATCATTCCAATGGACCTCAGTATCTTGCCCAGCTCGAAAGACAAACTGATCACGTGCTTTTTCATCAGTAAGCCACTTTTGAAGATTTTCCTGTAATGACATCAAATTTGATAATTTGATTAAAATGAAGCTACCAATAAAGAGCACATGCAAACTCAGATATAAGTTGAGTTCTGAACACCTTTCCATCCCCATCTAACTATGATATACAATCAAGCTACTCTGAATGATAGTAGGGGCTCCACAAATGACCATTCTATAAATGATTTACTATAACAGTAGGCATATACATGTTATGAACACAACAAACAAATTAAGATTTAAGATTCACATCATGATTTATGAATATACATATACTGCATGAAATAGAAAATGCAAAGGAGAGTAACCACCGCATCAATATTCATTGAGCAGAAGGTCAGAAAGTGTTAAAATAGTTACCCCAGGGGTATATGGCTTGAATTCAGGAGGAGCCCACTCATCAGGTACTTTCATGTACTTTTCAAAGTCGTCGAACATGTTCACAACAAAAACATGAGCTCTATCCAACTTATACCCATTTGTTTTCTCCCTAGCAACCTCAGCTTCCTATAGAATACACCAAAACTAAGCAATGTGAGTACAGGGGAAATTTTGACACCAAATCCAAGAGCACATGTAAGAGAAAAAGAGAAATACCTGAGGAGTATTATACTCTATGAAGCAATAACCTAGTGTTTTATGGCTCTCAGGATCAACCGGCATCCAAAGCCCTTCCTCCTTGATCACACCAATCTGACTGTAGATTTTGCGAATAACACCTTCTAGTTTCTCATACTTCTCCCGAGGAACCACGGGGAGGTTGTCAACAACAATAATGTTCCCGAAGCCAGAGTCGAATTCCAATTGATCATCTTGGTAAACATCGTCGTCATCACTAGCCAAGAGGAAGAAGAAAGAAATGGAAAAAAAAAAATCAGAACAAAAACCAGCAAACCTATATAATCCGAATCAGATTGCCCACCAGCCACAAGACTACAAGCTACCACTCTTCACGAACACAACAAGAATCTCAACCATTTCTGAGCAGAAAAATAAAGCAGAAAGGTACCTGACTATACCGAAGTCCTCGCCCGGCGGGAGGCGAATAGAGTCATAATCGACTTGGGAGAGATCGATGCCGAGGCGACCCACCGTGGCCTCTATTTCATTCATTATCAAAACGTCCGCCATGGCTGTTCAAGGTGTCGCCACCCTTTTGATTCAGCGAATCTAAGGAGGTAAACTGCAGAGTACTCTGGAGACTCCGTGGCTTCCGATTACAGAGAGAGGGTAAACGGAGAAGAAGGTGGCACTAGGGTTTTGAGATGTAAATCTTGGTTTGGGCCTTTTGACATTCGGTAACGTTCACATTTTGGGCCAGAATTTTTCGGCCCCGAAATTAACCCTTTACTAATGCAAGCCCAAAGATTGCAGTTACCTTATCCAAATAAAAAAAATAAATGCTCCAATAAATAAGTGCCAAGTCAGCAACAAGTATCCAAGTGTATCCAAAACTGATCTTCCAAAGCCACAGATGGCTCATGTGGCTGTGAACTTCGCTGCTTCATATTAGAGACATCCATAGAATTTGCATTGATCATTTCTCATATTTCACAAGAACCAGAAAAAAAATGGCATCCATGGCTACTCTCCCTCAGTTCACCGGGCTAAGACCCCAACTCTCGTCGGCCCCAGTTCGATCCCTGGTTTGGGTTCTTTCATTATTTCTTCTTGATGAATTCTGTTCATACTTGCAACTTATACCTAATTAAGTGAATTCCTATGGAGGTGCAGGCTGTGGTTCAACCATTGAGGCGCAAGAGCAAGGGAACATTGGGTGTCCGTTGTGGCTTCATTGGTTCTCCCACCAATTTGGTAAGATTAGACAATTGTTCTCACAAATAGCAATGGATAGTGAAATATATATATATATATATATATGAGTTAGAAATTTTATGTTCAAACTGTTGGATAGATAATGGTGACGAGCACGACTTTGATGCTGTTTGCTGGAAGATTTGGGCTGGCTCCGTCGGCAAACAGGAAGGCAACCGCCGGGTTGAAGCTTGAAGCGAGGGATTCCGGGCTGCAGACCGGTGATCCGGCTGGTTTTACTCTTGCAGACACCTTGGCCTGTGGCAGTGTTGGCCACATTATTGGTGTTGGGGTTGTTCTTGGACTTAAGAACTTGGGTCTCCTGTAAACAAATTTCGAGCATTTTATGCTGATATATTGTTATGATGCCATTTCCATTTGCTCCATCTATGTGTTTCTGTTAATTTTTTATCTTTTCAGACAGCCTAAAAGAAAACTGATGTTATTATTGAAGAAAATCATTAACGACAGCCAGATGATTCATATTCCATATATTTATTATGCGAATGAAAAAGATTAATAAAAAAAGTGTATCTAAATTGCATAGCATGCGTATTTTTAAATGCTTGAATGCAAGGGCAGCTACAACCTTTGTAATTTAGTTCAGTCACTGCAAAACACGTCACAGATAATTTATGTACCACTAATTATTTAAAGGGTTTTTATCATTAAAAAATGTATTTTTTTAATTATAAATGTATATAAAAAGATATAAAAATTGATATTTATTTTAATATTAATATAAAGCAAATAAATTTAATTAGATAATATATAAATTAAAAGTTATTTTTTATTTTTAATATAAATTTATTATAAAAATATATATTGAATATGCCTTTAACATGTTATCCTTCCTTATATTAACTTAGGGATGAGGGGTTCTATCTTTTTTTTTATTATTATTATAAGTGGAGAGAGGAATCAAATTCTTATCATAGTAAAAAAAGTTTACATTAAATTGTTAGATCATTGGATTTGTAAGTCTTTTTTGATATGAGGGGTTTTATTTTTATTTTTAATTTTTTTTTTATTAAGACAAGTGATTAGCAGAGGAGGTGAGGAGGGAGATCAACGGATGAGGGGTTTTATTAGTTAGAGCGTTTTTTTATTATTTTTGGCCAGATATAATGTTTGTTGATTAACTCATGCTTTTAATTTGTGGGGGAAAAAAATCA